AGGTACAATTCCCAATGAGAAATGTAATTGTGTTGTATACCTACAATGTACCAATAAAAGAATTTAATACAAAAAAAAAAAGAAATAGTTTGGCATTGATGAAGTGAGTAAATCAGTACAGAAACACATGTACCACAGCTCCAAGGCAAATACTCACTCTCCATGGTAAAAAAGGAGGAATAAAAAGTTCAGGCAAAAGTAGGAGACTGGCCAAACTGTGAGCCCGAACTGATATCTGGGTTTTGAAATGATGTTGTTGCCCTATTTCTCCTATCTTACAAATCTCCCCTAATTACTAATGTATCAATTAGGGTGCTTTCACGTCTAAGTGACAGGAACCCTAACTTGCTCAAACAGAACGAACCTTCTACCCCAAGGGACTGGTAGGCTCAGGGTGAGTTGGGCTCTGTCACAGCAAGGTTAGTAATAGCACCCTCAGGCCCGGTGCTCCTGACATCTCCACTCTGGTCCTCGGTGTCACCAGCTCTTCCTGCAGAGCCCTCATGGTTGCAACAAGGCCGTGGCCAGGAAGAGCTGTGCTCTGAGCAGCCACAGGGACGGTGCTCTGGCCTGAGCACACCTAGAGCTGCGCCCAGGGGGAGGGAAGGTGAATTCGTTTTGGAGACAGATGTCCTTTCGAAAGAGCTGCTGTTCATTTGTCAAGTTACTGCTTCCAAGATTTGAAAGTCATTTATTTCATTGAGGAAAATTTGGAGAACAGGAGGCATCAAAAAATCCACAGAAAATCCTTGCAAGTGAGACAATCTTATTAACATTTTTTTGCATTTGTTTTAAAAGTTTAATCAACACAGATAAAAATACTGTAGATAAATCCTAATTGAGTCACTTAATTTGAAAATGGGATTTTAATGGATTAGTGACATTCTACCATATGGAAACAGCATGATTTATTCAAACATTTCTCTCTTGCAGGTCCATTTATGTTAATTACCTTTTCATTATTATATATAATGTGGCAATTAATACCAATGAACATATTATTTCAGCTGGTCTCCAATTTACTTCTTTAAGAAAGTTTTCAATTGCTGAGATTACTGGACCAAACTTGTTAAGGTTGTTTTTATTTTTATTTATTTATTTATTTTTTTGGTACCGGGGATCAAACTCAGGTCCTTGTGCTTGTGCAGCAGGTGATGAAACCACTGAGCTAAATCCTCGGCCCAAGGTTCTTCTTTTTAAATATTGCCAAGTGAATAGGTATTACATATTTATAATGAGAAAAATTTGAATAGATAAAAATGGGAATCATATTTGCCCTTCTAACTTTAGAGTTTGGTAAAAACATAAGACCATATAATTTCAAAAATACTATGTGCAAATTAAGGCATTATATAAATGTAAGCTATTATTCTGATGCATAGAAAACTATTTGAAATTGCCTTGTAAGTTTGTAATTTTCACCACACATACTGTCATCACTTTACACAACTGTCAAAATTGCATGCGGTATCTGGCATTACAACAGAAGCACCTTCTGTCTTAGTTATTGAAGTATTTTCACTTGTGAGACTTTAATCTGTTAATTAAAATTATTAAAATTATTATGTCCTGTGAAGAGGAACACAAAACTGGGAATACACTAGTATAAACAAGTGTGGGAGACAAATACACAATCAACGAAAATGTGTGGGTAAGTGACAGAGGAGAACAAAGAACATTTCACTGTGGAAAACAGAGAAAGGGCATGCTTAATGCTGTCTCCTCCTGCTTTGTCTTCTGCCTCAGTTTCTACCAACTGTCCTCTTTGTCTGACTCTTTTGTCTTGTTTTGCCCTCTGGCGTTTGTGAGGTTCATTTTGAGCTTGCCTATATACTAAGACTCCTGAAGATACTTTAATCCCCTCCTATTGTCCGTCCACTCCTGTCCCACGATTCTGACCTCCAGGACTTGACCATTTCCATCACAGCTCAGGCTTTCCTGGGTGACCACTCATCTGATGCTGTTCATTCCTCACCAAAACCCACCCTCAGTTAGAAAAACCTTCTAACAGAAGGCGAAAAGTTAGGCTAAGTGAAGGAATAAAAGAAGAAAGAAAACATTCATCATTCATTGTATTTACACGCTTACTGGGACGTCACACTGCACCTTAGCTGACACAGAGACCGAGGTCTTAGTTCTTACAAAACACACGTTAGCACCTTGGAGAAGAGCGTGCAATACTCCATGTGCTACTTGAAAGGGAAGGCATCTGAGAAACCTCTACGGACCAAGTGAAAACATTTACATCATGATGGTAAAACTCTCAGACATTTCATAAACACACCGTTCGGCCTGACAACAATTCAGCCATTGCTCATGTCTCCTCTCTTTGTATTTGCATGAGAATTATGGGGTTGGGTTATATTTATCCATCCGGAACCAAACATTAGACTTGTTTATTCACTTTATTTTATAAAGGTGAACAGGTCCCAAGTATAAGTGACCTTTTCTCTGTTTATGTGTTGCCCAGCTGTGCCTAGAGCCAAACTGTGTTATGTCTGCCACTTCTAAACACTCATGTCCTACGAGGAAAGGCAACGCATAGAGAACAGTGTCCCGGAGAGGAAAGATGATACAAATCTAAGTCAGACAGTGACGATTCATTTCATAAGCCACTCATGTACTTTCATGGTATTTAAGTCTTTAAACTTGTGGTAATGTTCATATCTCAAAGACTGCATCCCAATATGAAAGAAGTTAAGTGTTAGTGGTGGTAGCCACATACTACTCATTTGAACAGTGGAGAAATGAAATGAAAGTTGTGATGATTGATTCTTTGTCCTAAAGGTATCAGGGAAATAAATCGCTTAGTCTCTCTATTCAGAGTTCAAATATTGCTTTAGGAACATACAGTGACTACTCAGTTCTTAAATGTCAAGAAAGTAATTTAAGAGACTTTACACTGAAAGTTTAAGATAGCCACACTGAACTATATTAAAAACCCACAGTGTGATTGGAACTAGTTCTTTACTAAAGAAGCTAGCAATTGCAATAATAAGACCCTGGGCTTTAAGAACTGGCTCTGAACTGTGAAAGGTCAAACTGGAATAACTAAAACTCCCATAAAATTGAATCAAAGGAATGAAAATAGCTGAAGTGAAAGTTATTATAAAAGAATATGGTGGCCTGGATCTAGGAAATATATACTGAAGATAAAATGGGATATTTTTGAAGAATCCTGAAAAATCTTTTGGGCTATCATGATAGTGTACTGGAAACCATTTTTAAAATACAATTTTGGAGTCATATGCAGGTCTAGCATTAGTGGATAAAGATGACAAGATGTTCAGCCCCATAAAGTATTTGGACATACAATATTTGACTAAAGTGACACAATTTTTGGTAAAATGGGATTATGTAATTTGGCATAGTAGTGATTTATTATATTTTAATATTTCAAAAATATACTTTTGCATTGAATAAATCACTGAAGGACTCCAGACAACGGCCTACGGGCACGTCTTGGCTCCATACACCAGGCTGCTGTTGCACTGGAGGCAGTGAATTCCATCACGAGGGTTGTAAGAGCCAGGGCTGCAGATCACTGTGGATAAAGAGTCAATCAGTGAGTAACATTTCCTTGAGTTTCACGTAAGTTAGCTTCACATGGACGAAGACAGACCGTGGAGTATTATTTCCTTAATTCTTTAAGTGAAGTAAAATTCACCATTTTAGTTCTTTTTAAGTGTATACCTGAGTAGTGTGAAGAATGCGCTCCTGCACTACCGATCTGCAGAACACCTCCCTCTTGCAAAGCCACAGTGCGTGCCCCCTGCACAGCTGCCCAGCGGCACTCCTCCAGCCGCGGGCCACCGCTACCGTCCCTGGTGTGGGCGTGAGCGCTGCCCGTCTCACACAGGACAAGGACACAATAAAAGCTTTGCTCTAACTTTTCATTTAGAAGCTGGCTCAAGCCAAGACGATGGGCTAAAATCACTGCTGACTTCTGGCGGAACTGGAAGGAGATCATCATTGGAAGTGCAGCGGAATGTGCTTATCAGAAAGCCTGCGACTGTGACTTAGCTGGGTGAAGACAGCCCCAAATCAGCAAGGGGGCTGCCTTTTATTTTTCAAACCATTAGTATGGCAAGTTGCTGAGGATGTGGAGAAATTCTGAGACTTGTCCTTTGCTAATCGTGCAGCTACTATGGAAAACAGTACGACAGCTCCTCAAAAAGTTAAACAGAACACCACACGATCCAGCAGTTCAACTTCTGGGTACATACCAGAAAGAACGGATAGCGGAGAGAGCAGAGACACTGTACTTGTGTAGGGTGTGGTCTGCATGTTTGTGTCTCCTACAGGGGATCTGTGGAAGGCCTGAGCTGCATCAGGCTGCATTCAGAGCTGGGCTGTCTTCCAAGAGAGTAAAGGTAATGAGGATCGGACCTGATAGGGTTAGTGTCCTTAGAAGAAGAAACACCAGAGCAACTGCACATTCGCTCTTCTTTTCCCAAAGAAATGCTGCATGAGGACGTAGGAGAGGGCTGTCTGCAATCTGAAAGAGAGCCCTCGACAAAAACCGAGCAGAAGCTAGCCTTGAGATGACAGTTCTAGCCTTCAGAGCTGTGAGAATATTAATTCCTCTTGTTCACGACACCAAGTCTATGGAATTCAATCTGGGCAGTCCAACCTCACTAATGGTACATATCCAAAAGAACCAGAACCATGATCGTAAGAGACATCTGCACACCTGTGTGCTTCATATATGTTATTCACAATAGCCAAGAGAAAGATGCAGCCCAGTGTCTGCTGCCTTCAAGAAAAAGGAAAATGCGGGATGTGCACAATGGAAGCTTATTTAGCCTTTAAAGGGAGGGAACTCTGACCCATGCCATAGGCTGTTAGGTGAAATGCTATATAATTCCACCTATACAAGATGTTGAGAGAGTAGAATTTAAGGAACCAGAGGGCAGAATGGTAGTTTCATGGTTGGAGGGTGGGGGAGCGGGAGCTTTTATAAAACGGTAAATTTCAATCTTGGAAGATGAAAGAAGTTCTGAATGTAGATAGTGGTGATGGTTTCACAGCAGTATGGCTACAGTTGGCTTAAATATCTTAAAATGTTAAGATTTTATGTCAAGCATATTTTTCCAAATAAAAAATGATGCATAACCTACACAGCACATTAGCAAGTATTTGAAGTGTGTTTATATTTAACGTTTACATCATAAATTGTCATAGATATGGAAGAACAGAATTTCTCTTACAGTGTTGTTGTAAATGGACTAATATAACAACTATGAAAAACTGACATTTTAATTAAGTGTATATGTTATGACCTAGTATTAAGTAAAGACGTTGAAGAATTCTAAACAACTGATTATATACAAAAATAAACATGGCAATATTATCTGTGTAACAAAATTTAAAAAGAATCAATTTCCAGTAACAGTAAAATAGATATATACACCTTGATATAAATCATATAATAGAAAATTATAAAGACATGAAAAATTTTAAAATAGTGTTACAAGAAAGATATGAAGTAATGTCACAAATACGGCCTATAAAAATGTGAAAGCATTAAGTTAATCTATCATTAGATAGGTTCTCAAATTCAATTTTTTTTGGGGGGGGAATGCAATACAAGATAGTTTTATTTTTATTTTTTATTTTTTTTCCCATTAAGTTTATTGGTACATTTTTGGTATAAAATACAGTTACATTCATCTTTGGGATCTTGTACCATTACATGAGTATCTTGATTCTTATTTTCTTCCCCTTCCCCTGCCCTCCCTTCAATCCCTCTACCATTTTTCATTTGCAAAGACTTTGTTTCCTTTTTTTACCTTTTCTCATAGTTTTTCTTTTCCCTTTTTTCCTTTCCCCTACCCCTCCCACTTGCCCTGCACCTTTAGACCTTTTCTTCCTATTACACAATATCAACTACACATTTTTTAAATTATAATATCAAGATCTAGGAGACATTACCACAGATTTTACAGAATTTAAAAGGATATAGAAAGCATATTTCAAAAATCTGTTTTGAAATAA